CAGACAACTCTGATGCTTCTGAATACTGTGGTCCTAAACTGGAGTGGCCAGAAGGCAGAGTCCACAGTAGCGACTTCCTCATCAGACAGAGAGAGACTCCACACAGAGGACTAAAGAATGGGTAGGAATGGAGCCCCAACAGCTTCACAGAGCACCTGGATCCTGTTAGACCCAAAGCCCAGATGTCTGTTCTGAAACTATTTACCAAGTCTGTCAATTGCTTCTTTTCATTCAAGATGGTTTAAGCTTGGGTGCTTGTTGGCTTGACTTTGACGTTTTCAACCTATACGTTTGGGCTCCTGTTCTTTTGGCTCATGGCTGCCTCCTGCATTAGAGAAGGTTAGGTTTAAATGAAGATGGCATTGGAGAGACAGACCCTATCTTAGGTTTCATGGCACCTGAACCATGGCAGAGGCCTGGAGGTTCACACATACAGCTCAGGGTGCTGCCCTCCACAGAACAGCTTCTTTCCAGGAAGGCACCTGCCGCTGCTGGCCACACCAGGCCTTTGCTGAAGGTCTGAACAGTACACTCATGTCATGGGCAACAAGGAACCTCTGTTTTCTCCCCAGGTTTCTGTATCGCTCAAGTGGAGGAGACACAGGCTTACTTGCCTTTATCCTTCACCCCAGACCTGCAACTTCTATTTTACGTATTAAATGAGGAGGGCAAGCACATGCCACAGCAAGCGTGTGGAAGTCAGAGGACACCTTTACAGAGTTTTTCTTTCCACCTTTACGTGGGTCCCAAGGATTGAAGTTGGGATGTCAGGTTTATGTGGCAAGCACTTCTACCTACTGAGCCACCTGGCCAGCACTTACTTTATTTTTGAGACAGCGTCTATGAAGCCCAGGCTGGCCTCAAACTAGACTTAGCCTCCTGAGTGATGAAATTATCATCATGCCTGGCTTACTGGACACTTTTTTCTTTTTTTAAATTTTTTTTCTGAGATAGGGGTTTTCTGTGTGACAGCCCCGGATGTCCTGAAACTCACTTTGTAGACAAGGCTGGCCTCAAACTCAGAGGTAAGTCTGCCTCTGGCTCCCAAGCGTTGGGATTAAAGGTGTGTGCAACCACCACCCGACATCACTGGGTACTTTTTGACGTCCCTTCCATTTCTGTCTAATTTTGGTGCCCTGTATACAGGATGTCTGGTTTGTGATCAGAAAGATCAGGGTTAGAAGCATGGTACGACAAATGGGCACGGAACCAATTCCCTGTGTGATTGGGAGGGGGACCAATGGTACTTCAAGCATGCTGGCCAGTCTGCAAAGGGCACCCACTCTGCTCCCCCCATGTCCCCTCCTTGGGGATAGATATAGATGTACCACTGGAGGTCAGGAATGGGAGCTGCCCAGGCCATGTCCAGGTTGCCACAACAGAGATGGGCACTCATAAGTATGTTTAGGGGGCAAAAGAGGTATGAGGGTCTCCTCAAGAGCCATGGCCCTGTTCTTTCTCCAAAGGCTGCCTTTGGAAGCCCATAGGAACTAATTAGCACTTTCTTCCTTGTTACCTACATTCTGAGTCCCTGGGCACCATCACGTGTCCCTCCTCTCTTTCCTTCCTCTTCTCAGTGCTCTGGGGTGTGGAGGCCGCAGTCTCACTTACTGGAAGTGACGAAGGAATAGCTGTGTGGTGGAAAAAACTTGGACAGTGCTCAGCAGGACAAGGACGGATGCCCTGAGGGCCTGAATCCGGGCCGTGAAAAAGGGACTTTACTGGTCACTATTCTGCCCTTTTACCAGATCAGAAAATCTAGAAATGTCCCTTGCTGTTTCGAGCTTCAAAGCCTGGCTGGAGCACGGCACCAGGGCACTGCCTTGCTCCGGGTCCCGGTCACATGCCTAGATTGTTTGAATAATTCAGATTTAAGAAGACCTACTTTCCTGTTAGGCCATTTCCTGCTAAAGAGCAGATGGGGGAGGGGCGTTTGAATTATACATCCACGCTCCCTAGGTTTTTAGAGAAGCCTGGGCACCGAGCCAGTCCCTGGGCAGCGTTTCCACCCTGGAGCGGTGCTTAGCTCTGCAGCCACTGCTGATGGAGCCCTGGGCTGGTCACATCTGACTGGGTGTGGCTATGGACTTGCCAGCTGATTTTCTGAGATGTTTCCGGAGAAGGGAGTGTGCCTGGAAAATCAGGAGAGGCCTGGACTCTGGGCTGTAAGCAGGGATCCCTTAAATTTTTGACTAACTGTCGAGAGGGCTGGGCAGCAGTGTGGGAAACAAGAAACACAAGGGACCTGGGCTGAAGTCCATGGCTGAAAAGGAGTCTTCGGACCCCCTGGGATACAAGAGGGAAGGCCAGCTTCTTATCTTTAGGGCAGGGCACTGGCTGTTAGCTGAAGCAAGCTGGAGAATGACCAAGGTCCAGGGACAGAGGTCCCTGCTGCTTGGGGAGTGCTCATATGGGGGGAGGGCGGTGAGGCCATGCGCGCGGGGCGCGAGAGGCAGCCTGAAGCTTCAGCTGGGGATCTGAGAATCAGGGGCCAGCCCCTCCCCCCTTTCTTCCTTCTTTCCCCTCAACTTTGCCCCTCACACCCTGTCCATAAACACATAAATGATGACTTCAGCCAGTGTTGTGCGGCAAGTTCCAGGGAAGGCTCTGCCCCACCCTGATCAGAGATCACATGGAAATACAGAGGCTAAATCTCAAAGCCTGAGAAGGCTGAAGCAGGAGGACCCCAGATTCTAGTCTAGCCTGGGCTGCAGAGCAAGATGTCCCTAAACAACAGTTCAACCATGTCAACCATGTTAGGGCTCAGCGTCCTCATAAGGGACCTCGTTCGTGGGCTGCCAATAAGTGGGAGCAGGGAGGAGGCAGCTTATGGAACGGGGAGCCCCAGAGGCTAGCCCCTGAAGGGCTCAGTCTGTTCCCTCCCTGCCCCCATCTTCACTTAGGAGACTTCAAAGTGGCTGAGGGGCTCACAGCAACTTGGAAGACTCTGCAGTGATAACTGGCCTTGTATACTGTGGGCTAACTGGCCTTGTATACTTCGGGCTACTTGCTTCTGTCCATTTCCCTTCTATACCACTTCTTCCTTCCTCTCTCTCTTCCTCTTCTCGTTTCTACTTTAAGTCATTCACCCAGGCAGATCTTGAAGGGTGGGCATCAGGCCTGCTGGAGTCTGATGACTGCCTTAGAATGTGAGAGCACCTGCCAATACCCAGAAGCCCTGACCCTCTGATTTTCTATTAGACTGCACTCCTTGCCTGCAACCCTTCTCTGCAGGAGCCTGGTGCCCAGATGTCTCCTGGTTACCCAGTTGTTCACGTACCTCTAGCTCCACCCTTTTTTGGACTAGCAGTGACTAGTGGAGACCTCATCCCGCCCATCTCTTCCCAGGTATAGTTCTGGTTGCTGAGTCTTGACCCTCACTTGGAACTCAGAATGCCATTTACTTTTTCCCAGACCATAAATATCCTCCAGGATCCTCTGGGGGTGGGGTGGCTGCTGTGGGTGAGGAAGTCTTCACAGGAGTCATGGTGAAATAGGGAAAAGAGCTGGGCAAGATGGCTGGGAATAGGCCACTTCTGAGAAATGAAGCTGGCAATGGATGTTCTTTTAGGACTGGACCGGTAGGCGCTTGGGGAACTTCTGCACAGAAGTGACAGCGGCATGAAGGCCGGTCTTCATAAAGTTATGGAACAGACTCCCTCTCTGGAGATGGAGTCACAAGGGACAAGGAAAGAGGACTGGGGGCAAAGCACAAGATGACCCTGGGCTCTACTGGAAGAGGGTGGGGTGATGGAGCTGTCAATGGCGTAGAGTAAAAGAGCTACTCAAATGACGTTAAGCCAGGTTTAGCTCAGCTGGAGTGAAGGACATAGAGGCCCAGGGGTAAGAGGCCGGCAGTAGGGTAGGATGGTAAGCAATTATGGTTACGTTGGCGATATCTGGAAACAAGTTCCTTACTCTCAAAGCAGAAGGTCACTGACTTGAAGGAAGAGAATATGAATAAGCCCTGCAGTGTTTTGGAGAGATCAGTACACTTAGTGTGTTCAAGAAGAACAGTCACAAATGTCCACATGACTGTTTGTATGTACATACGTGTTTTCGTGTATATATGTGTTCTGCCTCAGGCTGTCTGCTCAGCCTGCTAGAAGTAATGGCACGTTAGTTAGCAATGAATCTCCAGCACCTGAATCCTCATTTCTATTGCCCACTAGCAGAAGAAGGTCTCAGTTCAGGGCTGACACAGAAAAAGCCTAGGAGCAAAGCGACAGGGACATTTCTATGGCCTGGCAGGAAGCATCAGCAACAGGGAGGGAGGTGTGAAGACCACCCACCCAAAGGCTGCTGCAAGAAGAAACAGACTAGGGAGGAGGAGGTAGACCTGGCTGCAAGGCGCACAAGAGACAAGAATGGAGACCATAAAGTGTGAAGAAGAAAGCCTCCTTAGCAGCGAGCGGGGGCGAGGTGCCAGTGCCAGGTCCCAGGCTGTGGTTTAAGAGAGGCTAGCGCAGGCCTGGAGGAAGTAAGAGAGGAACAGAGACTATTTTGGAAAGGACAGAAAGGGAGTGAAGAAGTCAGTGTGGCAGGAGTCGTGTTAACCCAGGGCGGCTGGAATAGAGGCAAGACGGACAGAATGGCATGCCTTACAGATTCTTGGGGTTACTCTCGACAACCTTCCTGTGCCATCTGGCTACCCTTGCCCAGGCTAGGCCCCGTTAGGCCGCTCGCCTACGCCCTCCGGCCCTCCCGGGCTGGACACACAGGCGGAACACACCACGCTCTGGCTTTGGGCGCGTGGTATTGGAACCTAAACCAGCAATCTAGAACCCGAGGCTACCGAGAACATCTGCAGACAGGCCACCCCCCTGGAAGACCCTCGAGCAGGATCACGGTGCCTTTAAGCCGCTCGCGCACGCGCAGGGGCGAGGAGGGCGGGGCGGAAAGCGCGGCACGCGCACGCCGCCGGTGCGCGGTGACGCGACGTGGGGTTTCCCGAGGCTGCAGGCAGGGGCCGCCGCGCCCATCCTGATGGCTGGAGGCGTCTGAGGGGCGGACGGCGACGGCGGCGGCGGCGGCGGCGGTGGCGGGCGCGGGCGGCGAGGGCAGCGGGGCTGGAACTGGAACAGCCGCCGCGCGGACCCGACCAGCCTCGCCGGCTCCTGCCCGCAGGCCGCGAGCGCGACGACCGGGTCGATCAGGCGGCGGCGTGGGCGCCAGACTGGGCGAGGGCGAGGTGAGCGTGGCCGCGGTCTGCGAGTGGCGCGGGTCCTTGGCTGGGCCGAGCCGGGCCGGGCCGAGCCCTGCGGCTCTTCTTCCCGCCCCGGGGTGGGGGTCACCGGCCGCCCGAGTCATCACGCCCTCCAGGGTGGGGCCGGCGGGGACCGCAATCCCTGGTGGGCTGGGTGGGTGGCGGGGCCTGGGTCTCGGGTCCTGGATTGGTTGGGGCGGAGCCGCCTAGGCCGGGATGCGGACCGGGCAGGGGTCTTGGGCTTAAGGCCGCATCCGTGATGTGAGACCGAGGCCGGTGTCCTGGGCTTCAGGGTGGATCCCGAGCTACGGCGACTGGGGTAGGGGTCCTAGGTTCGAGGCTGGATCCTGGATGCGGGGCTGGGTCTGAGGTCTTGGGTTCAAGGCCGGACCGAGTGTCGGGATTCGGTTTTCAGATCCGTGATCCTCGAATCGAGGCTGCGGTGGAGTGGCCTCGGCCGTGGTGCCGGAATCCGGCGGTGGTCCTGAGTTTTAAAAAGGGGAGCGGGATGCTGGACCGGGGCCCGGGTCGTGGGTTCGAACCTGGGCGGGGCGGCCTAGGCCGGGATGAAAAGGGCGCCCCGCAGGCGCTTCTTCTCGAGGCCAGGTCCCCGCGGGAACAAAAGCCGAGCTCTGCCCTCCCGACCGCGCCTTCCTGCGGGGTGTGGGACTCATCAGGGCCGCGCGGGGAGCGGCCGCGGGGCGGGTCTCCCGGATACCGCGATCACCCCTGCCGGGTGCGAGCCTGCTGCCTACCGTGCTTCCCGGTTCCCCTGGTTCCCGACGTTCCCGGCCCCAGGCGCCCGCGAATGAATGGGCGCCGCGTCCGGCCGCCGCGACAAGATGGCGATGCCCGCCTTTGTCAGCTAGGGCCGCGCCGGCCGCCGCCGGGGCTGAAAACAAAGGCCGGCCCTGGCAGCCGCGGCCGGGGCAGAAGAGAAAAGCGCCGGGGTCCTAGGTTCGCCTGGACGCCACTGCGGGGAGGGGGCGTCCTGCCCAGATCCCTCACCGGGTGGTCTAGTCTATCCGTGTCTCCACAGCCTCGATTTCCCCTGGGGAACTGCAGCTTGGCTTTTGACCTTTTGATACATTTGAACATGTTTTTTTCCGGGTTTTTTAAACGTCACGTTTAGCATCCCCCAAATAGCATCCCTGTGTTCCCAGTTCATCTTTACAGAGGTTATGCCAGGATTTTTATTTTGAGAGAATTAGTGGAATTTATAATGAAGTATATTAACGGGGCTTGTGTGTAATACTGAAATTTCAGGAAACTCGTAGTGTTTGTTAGTTCTTTTGTTACGGTTCGGCCTGATAGCAGCAAGCAAGCATTTTTGTGTGGTTAAATAGCCTGTGAGATTGACTATTAACCAAGAAAATATGTAGATGATCTTTCATGATTAGCAAGTAAATGGCAGTGTAATCTTGTGAAAAGTTCTTCACTGTCGAGACTGGATATGGTTTTCAGAGAAAGCATTAATCGGTTTCTAAATTGCTTTGTCTTTTTTTTTTTTTTTAAACCGGTCTTTATTTGAAAATAAGGATTTTAGTTCTAATGCTAAAATCTGGATTCTTCTCGAAGGTACTTCATACTGCAAAAAGAAAATGAAGGAGCAGTTCCTTTTCTCCTTTCTTATACTGGGTGTTTGGCCGAGGATGAAAGTGTGAAGACAGGCATTGAGCTACCGAACTAGGTTCTGGTGTGCTTTGACTTAAGGAAGCCCGACTTTGGTGACAGACGCCTACAGGAATGTAGTGCGGCTGGGAAGGCCAGGATCGCCCTGGGGAGGAGGCTAGACTGTGAGTGTAGGGTCCTGCCTGCAACGTGCCGGCATTTTATTTCACTGCTACAGTGTGCAGTCTTTCTTAGGAGATGAGAGGCTGGAACGTCAAAAGTAGGTTATCTGAGGCTGTGTGCTCATACCTGCTGCTTGGCTCTGGGTGTACAGATGCCCAGTTTCAGGATTGTATTTCATCTGCTGGATCCTTGCAAGGATCTTTTTATGCAGGAGATTGAACATGGAATTTAGACATCTTCCATGAATTCACAAACAGTTCTTATATAGTTTGATGAGCTGACATCAAAGCTATGTTTACTTCACCAGAGTAGAGCAGAGTGTCCCTTAAGCACACTTTTTAAAAAGGCTTCTCTTTGTTTGGTAGCCTTAGTTATGTCTGATTTGGGGGAATAGGGGGACCAGGTAGATTTCCTTAGATTTAAAAGGTTGCAGAATAAACCAGATGTGCTGGTGTGTCTCCTCTAATCCCAGTACTCTGGATGCTGAGGCAAGAGGATCAATCAATGCAAGTTGGAGTAGCCTTGGTTACCTCTTGACCAGCCTTGTCTAAAACACTCCTTTTTCCCAAAGTCTGCATAATAATATTTTTTTTCTGTTTTCCTTAGAAAACAGACACATCTTTCCACATTTAGGAAGGCTGGTTTCAGAGTTTTATCCAGGTGGATTTATACCAATCACTGGAGAAACAGACTGGTTTAGAAAAGATAATCTCTCAGAGTGGTGCACAGATTAGTGAAGCTTTGTTAGTTTTACTTAGTTAAAAAGTACTGGGTTGGGGGTTTAGGCACTCAGTGCTGAGCTTGAGGACCTAAGTTAAATCCCTGGGTCCCCCATGGGGAAGAGAAGAATGCACATAATTGCTCCAAGTAAGTATACTTTCAGAAAACCTATTTGATACTCCTGAAAAAGTTAACATCTCTAAATGTAGCCTTGAGAAAGCCCTTGAGCCTTCAGGGCTCTTTCGCTGCACCCCACTATAGTTGGCTATGTGGCCAGTGCTCACCTATAGTGAGTGAGCCACAGTGATTTGTTTAAGAAGTGGTATCTGTAGTTATTAGTTTGTTCATTGGATTGTTTTCCTCTGCCCAAGAGATTTGGCTCATGTCAGTCATTAAATTGGATTAAATTCTTTATGTGGGCTTTGGTTTTAGCATTAGTGGATTGGTAATAGATATTCTCAGTTTTATTATCTGGGCTTGACCATATGGTGTGCCTTTCCCCATCTCCCTCTAGCTTTTTAAAGACCATTTTGCTCTGTAACCCACGCTGTCCTGGTATTCACTGTGTAGTCCAGGCTGGTCTCTAACCCCTGGTGATCCTTCTTCCTCAGGCTTCCAAGTGAACCAGGCATGAACCATCATAAGTCTCATAAGACAAGGGACAAAATTTTTAAACTTGAGGTGTTTTTTTAAATTTTTAAAATTATTTTACTATTTAATATTTTACGTGTTTGAAAATTTTGCCTGCATGTAAGACTAAGAATACATAAAATGGTTCTAAGCTTTATTTAATTGAGTTCATTCTGCTATTCATAAAAGGTTATTACAAGATAATATTTAGTTCCTGTAGAGGCCAGAAGGCTGAGTTGTGTTACAGATGGTTGCGAACTACCATGTAGGAACTGGGAACAAAACCCAAGTCTTCTACAAGAGCAACAAGTGCCCTTGATGGCTGAGCCAGCTCTTACACACTTTTTTAATTTTTATTTTTTTATTTTTTGGCAGTTTGAGACAGTCTTTACATAGCCTTGGCTGTCCTAGAATTCACTATATAGACTAGGCTGGCCTCGAACTCAAAGATCCACCTGCCTCTGCCTCCTAAGTACTGGGATTAAAGGTGTGTGCCACCACCTTCTTAATTCTTAACATTAATTTAAATTCTGATTTTAGGAGTTGATGGTTTGACCCTTTAAGGTCATTTGCTACTCAGAAAGTGAGGCCAGGCTAGGCTACATAGGACTGTTTGAGTAATTCCAGGTTTGCATTTGGGTGTTTGTTTTGTTTTCCAAGACAGGACTCACTGTGTTGCTCAGGCTAGTCTTGAACTAACTACTCAAGGGATCCTCATCCTTCCGATTTTCCAAGTGCTAGTATTGCAGTCTTCCTAGAACTGTGCTTAAGAGTATTTATAGAACTTATGAAGTAGAAGTTCAGTTAAATGGTTGGTTTAGTGATAATTGAACAAAAGGAAAAAAGAACAGATTTAATTTACAAAACTAAAATGTTTAGTAGTGATGGGAAAATAGTTCTATGATATTGTATGGATGTGTATGTGAAGAGAGGACGTACCATGTTAACTGTTCTGGAATAAGAATTTAAAAACTTGAATTTTGTTGCATAACTTATTTCAGAAATACAGACTCTAGACACTGGAGTTGGTCACTGGGTAAGAGGACTGCTAACTGCTCTTTAACCTCCTTGCGCAGTACTGGCTTAGGGAGTTCTGTTGATCTCCTGGTGCTACTGCTGGCTTCCAATGACAGAAAGACTTTCTTACAGAACACAGTACCTTTTTCTTTTTTTAAAAGACTTAATAACAATAACAGTATTTAGTGTGATTTTTCTTCTTTAGTGGGGGTAGATGGTTTTCCAGACAGGGTTTCTCTGTATAGTCCTGGGACTCACTGTACATTGACTGGGCTGGCCTCAAACTTAGAGATTTGCCTGCCTCTGCCTTCTGGGTGCCAGGATTTAAGGTGTGCTCCACCATCGCCCGGTGTGTGCATCACCTTTAATTGAACTCAGGACCCCTGGAAAAGAAGCCTGTGCTTTTAACCTCTGAGCCATCTCTCCAGCCTGTGATTTGTTTTCTTAAATCAGAATTTTTTTGTTTTTATTTTGGCTTTGCTTTTTCGAGACAGGGTTTCTCTGTGTAACAGACTAGGGTGGCCTCTGCCTCCCAAGTGCTGATGTTAAAGTAGTACACCACCACTGCCACCTGCCTTAATTCAGAAGTTTTAAAGAGCCATTTCTAAAATCTCTGTGATTTAAAAGACTAGGATTACATAAAATGGTTCTAAGCATTATTTAGTTGAGTCCATTCTTGTATTTATATAACGGTTACGGTTACTAGATATAAAGATAATATTTAGTAGTCCTAGTTTTCTTTTTTTTGTTTGTTTGTTTTTGTTTTTTTGAGACAGGGTTTCTCTGTGGCTTTGGAGCCTGTCCTGGCACTAGCTCTGTAGACC